GCAAGACCAAATCACCGATCAATTCAGAAAATACTCTAATGGATTCATCAGGTACGCTTCCGTGTTAATATGTTTATCAATTGTTGTAGGATTTCATGCATATTATAGTGGATTAAATAAGTTTTATGGAAACATTCTTAATCCATTATTTTGGATCTATAAAGTATGTTTTTGAATCAAAGATGAAGGTTTTGATTCTATAAAACAATTGTTTAATCCATATTTGATATGTTAAAAAGAACCCAACACCTTATACACCGGAGCAAAATAATATAGCTAAACTTAAGAATCAAATTATCGTTGAAATAACAAGAAGTTTGCTTAAAGAAAAATACCTTCTAAATCAGTTTTGGGCAAAAGCAGTGGCAATAGTAGTTTATTTATTAAATATTTTACTAACAAAGGTTATTATGAATCAAACTCCTTTTGAGGCTTGGTATAGTATGAAACAAAGTGTAAAGCATCTAAGAATTTTTTGTTGTATTGCTTATGCTTTGGTAAATTCATAAACTAATACAAGCTTAATGAAAAATCTAAAAAATATATCTTAATTAGTTATTCCTTATAATCTAAAGTATATCAGTTATTCCAGCAGAACTAAACACTCTACAAAATCAAGTGACAGATCCGACTCCAATGAGTTCATCATCAACCTCACGTAATAGTAGTTCAAATTCTGATACCCCTCCAGAAAAATTCAGATCACTAACAGAAATTTATAACTCAACATTTGCTTTGTTTATTTTAGATCCTATAACTTTGGAGAAAATAGTTGAAAAAGGGGAATGCCAAAAAGCAATGAAGGAGAAAATCAAGTCAATCGAGAAGAATGATACTTGGGAGCTAATAGATCTACCAAAAGAAAAGAAAGCTATTAGATTAAAATGGGTGTTAAAAACAAAGTTTAATGCAGATGGAAGTATCTAAAAGTATAAGGCTTGAATTGTAGCAAAAGGATATTTACAATAGTAAGGTATTGATTTTGAAAATATTTTTTTTTGCTCACTTAAGTTGTCATATTTATCAATTTGATATGAAATCTATGTTTTTAAATAAAAATTTATACGAAGAGATTTTTGTTATTCAACCAGAAGGTTTTTTGGTTAAAGGAATAGAAGAAAAGGTGTATAAGCTAAAGAAAGCTTTTTATGAGCTTAAGCTCCAAGGGTATGGTATAGTAAAATTAATTATTATTTTTATCAAAATAGATTTTAAAATAGCAATAATAAACCTACTTTTTATCTAAAGAAGAAATGTGAACATAATCACCTTTATATTGATTATATTATATATGGGTTCATCTAACTCGGTAGAATTTAAAAAATACATGATGAATAAGTTTGACATGTTAGATCTAGGTTTACTATATTATTTTATTAGGTTGGAAGTGAAGCAAGGATCAGATGAAAATTTTATTTCACAAAGAAAGTATGCAATGGATCTACTCAAAAAATCTAACATGATTAATTATAAAGTTACGACAACACTAAACGAGAAATTAAAACTTGAAAATGGTATATGTTTGACAAATGAAAGATACTATAGAAGTTTGGTTAGATATTTGATTTATCTAACTCATACTCGATTAGATATTACCATATTTGTTGGTGTAGTATCCAAGTTTATGTATAGCCTAAGCAAATATCACCTCGGAGTTGTTAAAAGAATTCTACGTTATATTGCTCGAACTATATATTATGGTATTTGGTATTCTTATAATTTTAAATATAGATTATTTGGTTTCACTAATAGTGATTAGACAAGAGCTTTAGATGATAGAAAGAGTACTTCAAGCAATATTTTTAGCCTCGGATCAGGAGCTATATCTTCGAGTTCAAAAAAGCAAGCAACAAATGCGTTATCGATATTAGAAGCAGAATATATAGCCATAACATCAGCAACTTGTTAAGCAATATAGCTTAGAAGACTTCTTGAAGATCTTCATCAAAAAAAAAAAGAAGCAACGGAAATATTTTGTGACAACAAAACCACAATTGCAACGATGAAGAATCCAATATTTCATGGAAGAATGAAGCATATAGAGATACTCTATCATTTAATCTAGGATCTTATAGCAAGTAGAGTCATAGCAATAAAGTATTATGGAACACATAAACAAGTTACGAATATCCTCAACAAGTCGCTTTCAGTTCAGAAATATATTTATTTCATATCTCAAATCAGTGTATGTAACTATAAATCAAGGGAGAGTGTTGAGAATTGATTCACAATAGTTATCTAGGTAGTTACCATGTTGTAGGCATTTTATAAGTAATGGCTCATGATCTAGAAGTTATATAGTAGTTTCTACATCTAACTTAATTATGGGTGACATGATAGAGTAAAATAGTTACCACTAGGTCTTATAAATAAGACAATAGTTCATGAAGCAAGATAGTGTGTGTACTTGGGAATATCTTATAAGTATTCTATGTCTTATCTTTATTTAAATACTATATCGATTTTTTTGATTGAAATTTTTTTAAAATTATATCATAATATTCTATTTTTTATATTTTTGTTTGCTACTCCATCCCCAACAGATTCTCCTTCCGGTCTTTGGACAAGGAACAAGCATAGCTTGGTCACAGCAGCAAGAAACTTGTTCATGAGATCTTTCATCGAGAAATGCACCATGAAAGGAACCGGTGCACTGAACACATGGGATAGATAGGACTGTTCTTATACGATTCTTATGCTGCACAAAGCTAGTAAATCAAGGCCACGGGTAGCACCAGTTTATGCCTAGAACAGCTACTTAGGACACAGGTTAAGGACCACACTACTCAAAGAATCCATATTTTAACTCTACTGGAACTCTAGAGAATAGAATGGTTAGACAAGTAGTAAGCTTGGTGGGGAATCTAATCAATGGTGACGTGATTGAAGTGAACAAGAAAGAGCTTGCTTGATTGTAATCTAACTTGCTTTCTATGCTTGATTTGTCATGTTAAGATAACACTCGAGTCCTAATTCTAATTATCAGAAAAGATATCCCCAAACAAAAAACAAACCTACATTGGTCATCACAAACTCCACCTGACCATGATGACATTCTAATGTTGTAGTCATGTTAGGTCAATTCAGAAACAAGAGAGCCTAGAGAGTGAGGTGTGCATCCTCTCTATATGTATCCCACACTGCAAGGAGAGCCTCCCATTGTCTTCTTTCTCTAACTGGGACTTGGGTTACTTAGAGAGAGAGAGGAGTTGAATTGTTTCACTTGCAGAAACTGTGGCTGCAGGGAGCATCCAAAGGGATCGCATTGATCCCTTGAGGCACGTTTACTTCATTGACAGTAATCGGATCATGCGATCTTTTTGGATACCTCCTCCGGCCACTTTTACTATCCGCCCGTCCTTCAGTGGACTTCCCTCTTTGTTCTTCCATGGAGAAATCCCTGCGTAGGTAGGTTCGAGCAGGCTGCTGACTGCCTGAGAGTAAGATTGCTTCTGAGGAATCTATGCATGCCTTCCTATTCTTTCTGCTACTGATTAAACGGTCTTTTTCCTCTGGTACTTGCCATCATGTGTATTTTTCTTTCTTGTGCATCAGATGCCCTAAGAGAAGTCATCTCCAGAGGAAGTTGATAGGGAGAACATGCATCATCAATTATAAGTGTTTGTTTCACTCATGCTTCAACAGGTTCTCTGAGCATTTACTGGAAGAAGAAGAAGAACTTGATGCACTGCATGATGGCCCTGCAAAAAGTTTTTGGATTACTGTCGAAGGTCACGAGTACTTGTTCTAAGTTTCTTGCTACTTGCATGCTTCTACACAACAAGTATATTGATGTGTTGAGAGCTGATACATAATTAGTTGAGGACTTTGATGAAGAAAATTTCCACAATTTTTTTTGTTGATTTGTTCATAATTATTTTCCTCTGTTAATACACAAGGATTCATTTCAAAAGAATCAATAAAAAGAAGAAGAAGACACTTAATTCTTTTTTATGAGCTCTATATTATGGCAGATTATATATGTATATGATGATAAGCATTAAAACCTTCAAACATAGAATAATCTACTTATTTTGAGAGTGGTATATTTCTTAGTTACAGAACTGGAGCAGACTCTTAAAAAGATCCCAGGATTTCTTCAACAATTATCTTATTTGTCATCACACATACCACATGAAATGTTGATCTTGATCACCATCACTTTTGCAACATTAACTTTCATGAAGAACATCTGGCAGCCTTCTTTTTCAATGAGGAAAACAGATCATTATCATGCCTGGTGTGATTTTATCCAAAAGGGAGAAAGGAGAAGAAAAAGGGAAAGAATGTCACCATTCATTGAGAAATTGGGGTGACAAGTTTGGGTTCCACTGATCATTCATTGAGAACTCAATATTTTTCTGTCATGCACAAAAATTATGACTTGAATTCATGGCAATTTCATTTCCTGTTATGAAAGAAAAAGGGATGATCTGAGTGCTAAGAGTTGCTTCAACATCAAGGATATGAGTTAGAAACCAAGAATCAAACATGCTTCTCTTTGGGGTGATCTCAAAAGAGCCACTCAGTTCTGGATGCCATCAAACAAAGAAGCTTAAACCTGGTCTTGTTACAGAGAAAGCCTATTTGTAATTGGAAAGAGGAGAGGGATGCATATCATTATGTAGTTATTGCATTTGGTCTAATCAATGTCTGATTCATATACCACATATTAGTCAATAAGAACTTTCAGCATGATTATACAACATATGTTGATGACATCCTTGTCAAGAGTATCAATACAACCAAACCCACAAGAAACCTTTTGCACATGAATCCCAACAAATGTGCACTGGCATGACCAGAAAACACTTTTAGATTTTCTGCTGGGAGTGGCAATGAATTGAATTTTGAGAAAATCTAAGTCATTTCAGAAACTACCTCGATAAAAAAAAGTCGAATATATGGACGATAACAAGACTCGGAGAACATCTATAGTTATATAGTCGATATATTAGGATGCTAAATGACAATAATACTGTAATTCTGAGCTAAAATAGCTTCCTCATCTGTATTACTGAGAAAATCTGAGCTTCTTTACATTGAGAAGCGGTATACATAAGATAGAGACTGCTATTGTTTTCTGTATAGACTATGGACGCAACTTTGTAGTGCTCCTTTCACCTCTACCACAATGAACAGGCTAATTGGGGAAGAAACATCTTCAGAAGTACCACGACCCAGGCTATAATGTACCATGGAGACGATTAAGCTCTTCCGACGGGAGAAAGAGGGGGATGATTCGGTACATAGCTAGCATGATCACCTTGCGCTCTAAGAGCTCTCCCTGACTGACCACAGACATCATGTTCCCGGAAGCTTTTTGGTTCTGCTGAAGAATTGTCAGGTTTCCTGCCATGATGGATTGCTATGCAGATTGCAAAAGCCTGAAGCAGAGAAATGGAAGATAGATAATCGACAGCATACTGCCCATCTCCGAAAGAAACCATGCTGAAGGCATGTCTTTTTTCTTGAGATCCACCCTAGAAGAAGAGGTTAATTATTAGCATTATCTACATCGACACCAATGCTACAAGAAAAACAACAGAGAGTATGTTTGGAAAGAGGAACAAATGACTGGCCAAGTGGATATACCTGAATGAATAGCTCAAATCTGTAAGTACGGTCTGTAGTTTGACGATCTTGGAATGAACCAGAGGTGCACTCTTGGAGCTTGTCGCTAAGAATGGTTAGCTTGCAACCCTCATCCCAACCACCACAATCACAAGCTCCTCCTGATCTCCATCTTTCTATCAGAGGTGAGGGCTCACCATCGGTTGACAATCCATGAACACCACTCGGAAGTATGACAGATACACCAGATCGATCTACAGCAACATCATGCCGATCGGTCTGCAAACGTTTCTCTTCGTTCGGAGCACTTCTGAATTCACTGCAGCGCAAATCACCAACATTTGTACTTTTTGGCCTTTCCAGTGGTAGATTAACGACGACGGCAGCCAGCTCGCTCTTAATTGGATTGTCAACAGGTTTGTGAGATGTTGGTGTGGATTCAGCACCAAACAGATTAAACTCCCTCACGACATGAGAATTGTCATACTGGTAGCTCCTCAACTTGCAAAGTGAAACCCTCAGCTGGCCAACAACATTGGAGGTCAGCTGATGCTTCTTGCCCTTACTTACAGGGTTGCTCCAGAACATGCTTTTCTTCTTAGAGTCTTTAATGGAGAATAACTTATATATGCACTCAAGGCCATCATCATTGCTGACACTTGTCATTGTCGTCGTCGCTGCCAGTACCTCACTGTCGCAAGACGAGATTATAAACGAAGGATATCCATTTTCCCAAGCAAGTTGAAGAAATGCTTGCTTCACTGATGCCATATGCTTTTCATCCTGATGTATTCCTTTGCCATTGATGGACAATCTATTTGAAGCGTTCATGCTTCTCCTAGGCTGGCATGTAGAATCAACACTTGGTTTTGATGGCTTGTGCAATCCATGGAATGCTTTGACGGTTCTACTTAGTTCACAGGAATGGCGGCCCGGTAAGGCTGCAGCTATCCCAGTCAAACGAAGATTGTTCTTTGGCTTAAATAGAGGATCAAGTATCCTCCTCAGTGGGCTTTGCCGGCTTTTGTTATTTCTGGTTGCTTGATCTCCCTGTGAATTATATAGATAAGAACTTGTCTCGAATTGTTCTTCAGATGAACCATCCTTCAAACTACAACTTCTGCTCATTCGGCTTAAACCAACACTAGTTGGATGGTCAGATGATTTCTTCCCTGTCACAGCCATAGCTTTTGCCCCATATTTTCTAGATTCTTGGATTGTGTTAACTTCAAGTTGCTTGCAAGGATCTCTAGGAAATAATTTATCGGTTGGTCCTGAACTTTCCGACGGAAGAGTGCAGGATATATCAGGTTCATCTTTCAGAATTGTCCGTGGGAGAGGACATGAATGCGGAACATGAGGATACTGTCGGATGATCTCAACATCTTCAGCTAAACTGCCTGAATAATTGTTGCCATTCCTCTCATCCAGCCAGCCATCACTAGTTAACGGGGAATCAGAATTAAGACATCCACCGTCCACACTCTGTCGAAGATAATCCCATCTTTCTCTCCGATCCAGGGATAACCATAGCATATCATCGGCTATGGGTAGGCTATGAGGGTAGTCCTGTGGCATTTCTGCTTTCATCAAGCTACTGTTTTGGTCCTCCACCACTTTTGTTGCAGGAGAGTCATCGATCTTATATCCTGAAGGCGAAGTTGCAGAATGCAGAGCTACGCATACTTCACTTGAAATGGCTTGTGAATCCAAATTTTTATTGTCATCTGTACCAAGTTTGTGGTCAACGATTAAACAAAAATCTCTATCGGAATGTCTCTCATGCTGGACAGGAAACTTAGAAGAAGAAGAAGAAGAAGAGATTCTTGAACCACAAAAGCCATTTGTATGTGCAGAGCTTTCTTTCTCAGACATCTTAATTGAACTGTCCAGAACAGGTGGTTTCTTACGATGAAACGCTGAAGGAGATTTCTTCCCTCGAGAACTAGACATGGTTCTACAAGATTGGTTTGAAGAACCAAATGTAGAAAATGTTGATGACATGGTGCTACTAGATGCAGAGTCTCCACCACCCACATCTGTGACACTTCTTTGGTGGTATGCCCATCTCTCGAGAAGCCCCCAATCCAGTACTCCAAAGTTCAGTGCCTTCTCATGAATATTATCTCCATTTTCTTTGCGCTGAAGATAATAAGGTACATTCGACATGTTCTTAATTGGTCCTTCGATCCCGGTCGCATTCCTACTAGGCCATGGCTTTCGAAGCCTTTCGGTTTTAAGGGTTCCAACCTTCTCTAACACATGAGCATTCTTGGTTTCACTCGAGGGGAGACCGTTCTCCTTGGATGATTTTGAGGAACGGTGCTGAAGTGATCTCATCTTCTCACTCTGATTGAATCCCATTTCTATCATAGTTCTTTCATTGTTCTTGACTGCAGCTAGCTTCCTAGTATGACGCAACAGAAGTGGTAGCAATTGATGACTCTCACAACAAGACAGTGTACTCGGTTCTCATGAGTTCATGGCTTCATGTTGAGGGAGAAAGAAACTTCGCATTCAATCTCTTTCGGTATGACAAATGCAAAATGCTGCATACACGTAAGAAAGATCAGCGTCCATAAGTTGCTCAAGTAGTGATAATAACTACAAGAAAGAGTACTACAATCAGAAAGTGAGGCATGATTTTGACATGATTCAGTAGCAAAAAGGGAAATTTGAGACAAAATTGCATGTCATCACAGTGGTGTTGATTCTTAAAAACTGATCTAATTCAAGACTAAAGAACATGAGTTCCTTTCTTTCACAAATCACTATCAAATGCTTCATTTCGTTCACAAACCAAAGATGCCAAGAGGAGACGCAGCAGTAAAAAATGAAAGCCGATGAAAGGAACAGGGTATCTCCACCGCCGATGGTCGATGAACTCGGTGACTAACCCCCTATCTTCGATCGGCAAGCTTGGGAGCACCAGACCGCAACTTTCTTATTTCTACGAACAATCCAAAGGTGCTCGAACTGTTACCACCAAAAAATTGCTTTGATTTGAGTGGCTACCGCCCATCGGAGAAAGAAAGAAAGATACACCAGCAACAGAAACTACAGCACCATTCTCCCCAGACCTGCGCATCGTACCTAATTCAATCCGGATATCAAACTCGACAGAGCCAGATCAATTTCCCTACACGAGAGCCACGAATGAAAGAACGACGGCAAATCGCAGGGGAAAGCATCGTCTCAGAGATCACCATGTGCGAGTAAGCAAGCTAGAGACCGACGACCAAACATGAGCAACCATTACGAGAACATAGAATGGGGGTGGGGGGCGTACCAGCAAGAAGAAGAAGAAGAATTGCCGAAGTAGATCTGCCTTGCCCCGTCTCCTGGGTCACATCGAAGAGTGTAGCTGGCATCAAGGTAGCCTTGGTAGTAAAGTAAGAGACTTACCACCGCAGGTGCAAGACCAAACGAGAGAGAGAAGCGGGGCGGGGAACCCGCGATCGCGGAGGGAATTAGGGAGGGGAAGCGGCTGGTGGTGGCGGTGGGCAAGAAAAGACGTGCGGCCCGTCATGCGACCGCGCCTCGTCGTCCTCCATCTTCTATGCGGCCGTCGAGTGCGTACCCCGTTGCGGTCAATCCGTGGTGGGTTCGGTAAGCAAAGGGAAATTGCCAATGATTGCTTCGATCACAATGAAGCACGAATGATTGCTCCCGTCCCCTGCAAGTAATCGCTGTAGGCTTTATCTTCTTTAGCGACAAATCTCGATAGGACCACTCCATGCAAAGCGCTGAACAAAGAGGCAGCTTTGATAAATGGTCGCTCAAAAGGCCGTGCAGCGATAATCTTTAGTTCAAAGCAAAGCAAGAAGCCAAAACAAAGCTTTGGTCTGTCTATGCGTGGATAGACGACGATGCCACAGCGCGAGCTTGCAATCATCCACTTCGCTCCCGCCTACAAAGAATCCAAGGATCAAAAGGGCGGTGGGATGTGCGATCACAAGTGGGTATGAGCTCGATCTTGTCGAGATATAACTTATGTGATATGGAGAGTACGTTCCAATGTAATCTAAGCGTCTAGTTTGACTTTGGGTTAATTTTGACTTGACATTATTGGTGTACACAAGATTTATATATACAAAATTATTAATGAAATGACATTATTGTTGTGGCCTCGATGGAGCTCACATGCACTCATGCATTTATGCCATGTAAATGGGAGACATGGTTGGCCATCTCGCTATCACTATGCGATCAACAACAGTATATTAATGTACATCGATGAGGTTATTTTGGTACTGACACTCTACAAACCGAATTAAAGAATGATGTTTCAGTTATTTGGGAAAAATAATATGAATATTTTTTTAGTCGTTGAGGTCAACTACATGAAATTTTTTTTGGTTATCGAGTTCAATTGTTCTCGAAGTTCTAACACGTAAGAAATATGATATCATCCTATCTCATCAGTCTTACGTTCAATTATGATATCGACTTAGCGTCTAACATAAAGGTTCATTTAGTTCTTGATCTCAAACATCGAAGGGATATTTATTAAAAATATTCCAAATAAGTATTTACAAAACTAATTATCAAACCTATCATCTCCCTTTACTAAACTTATGATAACTTGAAAGATAGCCTCTGATCTGTATCATTTTAGTTAACCGTTCTTAATTCTTAGGCCCATTGGGGCCCACTGCCCATCCGACGACCTATTGGACTTTAGGCCCACAGCGCCTTTTACATTTCCCACCTCCGACGATATCGTTATTCTATTGCCCCTCCCTCACCCGTCGATTCTTCCATATATATACGTATATATGCGAGTGGGAGTTACCCTAAGCAGAGGAGGCGAGCGCTTACTGCTCACGCGTTGGAGCCGAGGCGAGCGCCCGGAGAAGAAGGGGAAGGACGATGTCTTGGCAGACGTACGTTGACGACCATTTGTTGTGCGACATCGATGGCCAGTGTCTCACGGCCGCCGCCATCGTCGGCCACGATGGCAGCGTCTGGGCCCAGAGCGACGTCTTCCCTCAGGTATCCTTCCTTTCGCTTCTCCTAGTAGCCTCGCTTGATTCTCCTGCCCGTCGTTCTAGTTAGATTCGATCGGATCGTGTTGTGATCTTTGGATCTGGCCGATGATGATTGGAGCCGGAGATCTATCTTTGGGTCCTTTTTCTGTGGTCGGTGGTGAAAGTGACTGGGGAGGGGTTTTCTCTATCTGATCGAGGACTGTTGGTTCGTCGTAGATTCGATCCCCTTGGGTTGTGATTTTCCTGTCGACGAAGAATTTGACTTCATGGATGTTGGTAAGTGTCCGATCATGCTTTTTAACTAATCCATTGCTTGTCGGAGCAACGGGAACTTTGCTGGGAGGGATTGGATGGCAGATCAAATCATGTGACTTTCTTACATCGCATTAAATTTCAGGTGTTAGTTTCTGCAGGGATTACCAACGGTGATTCGAGAGGGAATCTAATTCCGGATTTCATGCTCAAGTGACATTAGTTGTTGCATTCGTTACTGTAAGATATTAAGCTTCGGCTCTTAGAGGTCAATACAATTTCGAAACGTGAGCAATTTTGGTTCTTTTATTTTAATTACAAAACGATGTAGACGGAGTTGTCAAGGGTTCTTTATCCTCTAAGACCGTTGAGCTCAGCCTCTATTGTAGGATCATTAAATGTTTGTGGTGGCGATAATTATTGTTATAGGATCATTGCAAATAAACTTATTGTGAACTTCCCTAATATGAGTGGGAGAGATTATAACACTCCAAATAGTTTCACATTGGATGTGGAAAGTGAATTGAGTTGGCTTATAAGAGCTAGATGAGTTTTACTAGAGACCATATGATTCTAGACTATCAAGTTAATGAGTTAGTTGTCTCATCAAACGGTATCATGACAAATGGTATTAGAACACACTTAGTATTAATCATGTTGAGGAACCCAAATAGGAAAGAGCTAGATACATGTGGATATGGCCAAAGAGACATCACTATGTGAAACCACCAATATGTTGACCCTCAAGTTGCACTGAGGTTTGATTCTAAGATATGTCGGGTCTTGACGATGATGTGAAGCCCTAAGTGATGAAATATTGCAATACCTCAACTTTAGTTTGAATTGAATTGGTCTACGAGAACTAAATGAGTCTTCTACTATTAGCTTTGATTTGAGTCTTCTACTATTATCATCCTAATGGGTCAGTTATCTCATTGGGTCACATCATAACAACTAAGATAGAACAAGGTTAGTTTCTCATCATTTTACAAAGGGATATGATGTCGTCAGTTAATCCAAAGGCATTCTCATCATATAGTGGTTTTGAAGAACTTTTATTATTTATAATTTTATATAGCTTAGAGTATAAATTTATCAAGTGAGCTTGCTAATTTCTTAAGTTAGTCAATGAGTAACTGTTAAATTATGTTTATGAAGTATAATGATCAAGATATCATGTGTACATTATGCAGATATACATTTGATACCCATACATCTGTTGATATGTGGCATGAATATGTTTGCCTTTGTGTCAATGAATATGGACATTTACTTGTGGATGACATGAAAATAAAAAAGAAAAGTGTGTTACTTTATTTGCTTTTTTTTTATTTCAAGGCTTTTTTTCTCTCCGATTGTCAGTGCAAATATTCAATATAATGCACTATCTGATCGTTCCGAGGATTCTTTCTATATCTTTTATTTATTCAGTCAATAGCTTTATTCTTATTAACTGTGCAGTGCAAGCCTGAAGAGATTGCTGCAATTATGAAAGACTTCGATGAACCTGGGTCTCTTGCTCCAACTGGTTTATACCTTGGTGGGACGAAGTACATGGTCATCCAAGGGGAACCAGGAGCTGTTATTCGAGGGAAGAAGGTCAGAATTCTACATCCCATTTATGGACTAGACTAAATTCGTGCAATTTTTAGTATGGATTCAGAATTTCAAGTGCATGAAATTTCAACTTTGTTACAAAGAATGTCTCATTCATGGTACTCACTTGATTTTTCAAGTGATTAATGTTCAGTAATATACTTGTAACACTTAACAAATTGTTTAATGATTTCAGTAATTTATGTGGTAGTTTCTCCATAGATGACTTGTCAACTTGTTTTGAGAAGGGTCAATACATAAATACTGGTTTTGTCAGTAGTGCTCAACTTTAAATTTTCTAAAGGTTAAGGTGTGAGGTAAGGTTTATTCTATCTAACCTGATAGATTAGGGATCCAGTAAATGGAAACAGCTTCTCTGTAACTAAGGCGGCTATGTGCATTGATTTTCTCTAGGCCTCATATTGATGGGACTCCCTGCATTATGTTGTTCTTTCCTATACCAAATAATTGAGACATTACAACATCTTGTTGTTGTTGTTATAAAATAATATAATGAAGATAAAAATAAATTAAACATGGGAAACAATGAACTATAGAGCGCATACAATTTGATAACTCAGATTTTCTTTATGAACATCGAGAATGTTGTTTGTTTTATAAACCTTTTGATATTATAGCAATCAATCATCAGTCTTTTATGGCAAAATTTTGTGTTAAAATGCATTGTAAATGGCTTTGTGGGTTTATTCAGTCTGCTGGTTAGATCATCTCAATGCATTGTGAAAAAAACTATATTGAGAATGTTTGATTCCCATTTGGCTATCTATCAGCTTGTTTCTTACTAACTGATGTGTTGACAAAACACGATAATTGCCTGTGTTGTCATTGCCTATGCTCATCGTCCAGAGTCTGTTTTGCATTATTTATTGAAAAATTGGCTATATGAATGTTGCAGTGGCATATTTAAAATAAAAGAACACACACATACATGTTCCCAGTGGAGTACATAATTAAGAAACGCAATCTGATACTTTTTGGTAAATAATGTCTTCAGCCACAATTTCTGCTGACCGTTGACTTGTTTTAAATATTTAGGGTTCTGGCGGTGTCACCATCAAGAAAACCAATCTGGCTTTGATCATTGGCATATATAATGAGCCCATGACGCCTGGTCAATGCAATATGGTAGTGGAGAGGCTTGGCGACTATCTCTTTGATCAGGGCTTTTGAACATGGCCATGGAGCCCCGATCCTTTTCTGCCGGTCGTGTCTTTGGTGTTAAATCCTTGGATGGACTTTATGGAGTCTATTTCTGCCAGTCGTGTCGTTGGTGTTAAACCCTTGAATCTACCTGAACTTGCAATGAGCGTGAGGAATAACGAGCTTGTGGTCTATTTTGGGCGTTTTGTTGCAAAATCTGGTTGTTATTTGTACCTGTTTGTGTAAACTACTACGTTGAGAGACCTCTCTTCTGTAACATTTATCATGCTTGTCGTCTTTCTCTTCAGCATGCTTGTTGTGTGTTGCTTTCCGTTGCATGTCTATAGAAACTTAGAATGTACTTTTGGGGTTAGATAGTGTCTGGTATACTGATCAAAACCATCTGCTATAGCACATATCATATTAGATAAGGTTATCACAGTGTGGTAATTATTGTTCTTCCTCTTCTTTTCAGCCTAGTTGACACTGGCATGAACCAGTGGAAGACATGAGGCAGGAACAAGGCGTTTGGGGGTTTGCAACCATGTCCCTTTACATGTGCCTTTGTGGGTCATGCCTCCATTCCTGCAGCGAATTCCTGGACTTTGCAAGCTGTAAAACATTTCTTCAACCCATGAGAAGCTCTCTCAAGTAACTATTTTCTTTCATTCTTGTTTATAGTGATAGAAATGAATAGCGAGCAAATATATATATATATATATATATATATGTGTGTGTGTCACTGTATCACTGTAGTGTAGATTAGTGGTGCCGAGTTTGGAGGGAAATTTTGAATGTTCATCCCATCAGGTAAGCTTGTCCCACTTCCTTGTCCTCATTTGTTTAAGATTGGATCCATTAGGTCATGACATTATTATATTCATGACCCCTATTCTAAAACCCTGCGTGAACTAATAATATTAATTTCATAGGATAGCGTTAGCCTTGACCTTGCTGAACTCCTCAAAACAGTAATCGGACACTCATAGTACTTCAACCGTGATAGAACATGGAACAAGAACTGGTGCACTATCATATCAATGCTTCATAGGAGCAACGAATTAATCGATGAGAGTTAGAAAAGGACAAGGACAATAATCCTACGTACCTACAAGCATCAACTTCGTAGATTGTTTCACGCTGAGGTGACACCATTAACGTGATGCTTCATGCCGATCGAGCAATGTGATCGTGTGGTTCAGTCCGTTATGCTGTCACCTCGTTCGAGAAGGAAGACGAGGAGCGGCATGCAGCAGCGATGCACTCGATCGGTGGAGTGGAGCAAGGACACGGGCTGCTGTGCCAGTCGAGAGATAGGGTCGTGGAGGAAGCTGTGGTGACGGAGGAGAGCAGCGGAAGTGGCCAAAGGGCGAGGGGTCAAGAGGACGGTGGCAATAGGAACTCCAGTTGGAGTCGTGAGGCAAGGTGATGCAAGCTACGGGCCCTGGGATTGGAAGGCGACAGTGCACGCAGCGTAGGGAGAGACTGAGAGCACCGAGGAAAGTCCACATGGTGTTTTGTGTGCACACACTCCCAAACTCTCTCATCAATCATAGCAAAACCTAATGATTGCTGAAAAGGAAACATGAAGGAGGGAGTGGAAAGTTTTCAGGTCAGCAACCTGCTGCTCATCTGCTGACCCTCTCAGACCTCCCACATGACTTGTGTCATCTCATCTTTGAAAACCATGCCCACCCTTCAATCTTGTGGAGTTCTTTTCCTTTACCTTATGATAAGTTGTCTATGTGAGCTTTTTTTCTTAACTCCTCATCCATTGGCTTCAGAAGCCAGTGGAGCTTCAGAAGTTGTCTATGTCTTGCTTTCTTGGATTGATCACACTCTTCGGGTACTTATGCCCATCTTGGGTTCCATAAACTTTGTGTGTTTTCTTCTTCTTGTGAAACAAAACTTTATTGCAGTATTGATCTGAGTGGTTACAGATGTTTTGGCCAAAGTACATCAGATGATCCTTTTCCTTTGTGTTTCGCTATGGGTATGAGTGAATGGTTGAGCAACCTTTGGTGTCTCTTTGTTTCTTTTAACCCAAGGATAAGCTGCAGAAAAGAGGCACATGCAAACCAGTCCAACAAAGTCCAGTAGATAAAGAGGTTGAAGATGATTAACTTGGAAGGAAACAATGCATCTCCTGAGGAAGATGAGATTTGTCAAGAATTTACATGGAAACCACACTATGCTTCTCTCTCCACCAGTGCTGTGAACACAACAGCAAAAGAAATGATCCAGAGAAAGAAGTACAGATCTCTCTATGTTCCTCTTGTTCTAATAATCTTATGACTCTGTTCCTGCATTACCACTTCCTTGGCAAGTAGAACTCTTCCTCTGCCTCCCTCCTCAACTCGGAGGACTGGTCGATTTTCCCAACGACAGCACTCCTAAAGTTGAAGTCCTCCTGAGCTCGAGAACAGGGCCTCTGGAATCCCACTCCGCTAAGAGCAGCCATGGACTCCACCGTCGCTTCGCTCAGAGGCAGCCTCTTCCTCGTCCCGGCCGGATCCGGCCGCTGCTTCGGAGCGCTCTGAGACCTCAACTTCGCCTCGAATGACTCCGTGCTCGCCATGTAGTTGGGGCAGCTCGGCACGTTCGAGAAGCGGCGGAGAACTCCGTCCTCGTCGCACACGCTCTTCGCCCCAGTGACTGGCCAGTTGCTGCATGAACTTGCGCAGCGAGGGGTGCTCTGCGCGGTTGCAGATTGTCGGCATTTCTCGAAGGCGAGGCACCAGTCGTAGTCTTGGAAGTCCCGGCAGTCGGGGACGGAGATCCTCGCCGGAATCTGGCATGGGAGAGGAGACGTGATGGAGCTCCAGTGCAAGTCTTCGGCGGGGTCTAAGACAGATGGAGTACTTCGTCGGGAAGACCTCGACCTCGGGCGGCCGGTGTCGACCTCGACAATCTTCGGGCTCCGGTCGAAGCTGTTCGAGACATTATCGAGGCACGCGGAGAGCCTTCTACTGTGGAACGACGACGTGTTCTCGCTCCGCGTATCATCGAACCTTTCCTGCGACCAAAGCAAACAGATAGCGAACCGAGCAACGCAGCATTACATGGCGCAGCAGCCTGTGTTGGAAGCGTACCAACGATCGCCGATGGCGGAATTCTAGCTGAAACCTTCGGTCATGTGGAAGAAGATTTCGAGATCTCTGAGCTCGGACGGTGGCCTGAGCTCTGATGAGGGCCTGCATACTACGAAGAGTAGCTGTGGCTTGCTTGCGTACCAGATAGCCTCTAACTAAAGCTTGTAGCTTCACTAGTGCTTTGAGAGCTCGGAGGGCTTTCTTTGCCTGCAAAATCGCAAACCAGAAGGGATTAAATCTCGTCCTGGAAGAACAGGATGATGTCATTGATTAGGATCAGAAAATATGGGACGTTTAGCAAGAACAAGGCGAGCATGAAGCACGCAGAGGGAACCAAGGTGAGCTGGTTTCAGTACCAAGTATCCCCTGAATGATGTCTGGATCTTGACCGCCGCCATGTACCGCTCGCGGCAGCTGTCGAGAGCGGCGCCCGTCCCCCTGGTCGTCAGCCGCACGACCGCGACCGCAGCCTGCGCCGCCGCCACCGCTGCGTCGGCGGCCGCAGCTGTGGCAGCGGCGACGGCGATGGCGTGCTTACTCTGCTCCTTGTCGCTCTCAGCGTAGAAGGACCTGAACCACGCCGCCTCCACCGCCGCCGCCGTCGAAGCATTCTGGCCGAGCACCACCTCCCCGGCGTCCCTGGCTGGCTTCCCGAAGCTCCACCTTTTCTTCTCCCTCCTGTCCTCGCCACCGCTGTAGCGGGAGTACTCCTTGGGATCCTTGCTCTCCTTCTTCCCACCCCACAGGCTCCGCAGCCACCGCGTCGCCCGGCCCATTTCTCGGACTGTAGCAACAAAGCCAAGTGATTTGAAGGTCCTACAAGGAGCACAGCAGCTCAAGAGAAGTGGATGTGAGTGCGGTGGTCTCACACACCCTAAAAGAACAAGAGAGCAGGGAATCTCACAGTGAGGAGGTAAAAGCTAAAAAAGAGGCAATACAATGATTAAAGAAGCGCTTCGAACAACACAAGGGGAAACCGAAGGAAGAAGAATTCGGCCAAAAAAGATGGAAAGATGGGATCTTTTCAAAAGGAAAACTCTGTCAAACCCTCGTGAAGAACAGCATTACAAGACAAAAGTACGTCGCAGGGTGACCCAAAGGATAAGGAAGCCTTCCCCACCACCACCTCGCTGCCATTAAACTAATCGCAGCTCCACGTAAAACCCATAACCTATGCCCATTACACAAAAAAAAAGCAGCGCACAGAGAGAGAGAGAGAGAGAGAGAGAGAGAGAGAGATGAACGGAGTCCAGATTCAAAAGTGGAAGACCAACGAAGGGCTTCGCTTGTGCACATAAGCTCATCTGGGAGTTCAAAAAAGGGGCGCAGGAAGAGGAACCGGCGATCCAAATATTCTCTCCCCCTGCAAAAGTTGGGCAGAAACGACACGGAGGGAGGGATCGAATAAAGCAAAGGACCGGCGATCTTAAACGCGGCGCAAGATCGAATTTTTCCTCACCCTACGCACCCTGAGGATTCAGAAAAGGACACCAGGAAGAAGAGATCACCCCCACCAACCACGCCTCTCCATATCGAAACTACGTAACCAGTAGCCCCACTGGGTCACGCAACGCAGGGGTTGAGGAAGAGAAGACGCGGCCTTTCCTCCACCAAATCCCTCACACAAGTACAGATCGTCGCACGTCAAAAGATAGCCAACCGACCCGACCCCGTCGCCTCTGGTCCAGTTTTATTCACCAGAAGAGGAAGAGAAAGAGAAGAAAAGGAGAGATTTTGAACCGAGATCTAAAGTGGCGACTCCCACCGCTGCACCTCTCTCTCTCTCTCTCTCTCTCTCTCTCTCTCTCTGAGTTCCACTTGACCGCTGACAGTGCAGTTATTAGTCCTGCGCTTCGCTTCATGACGAGCGTAGTCCCTCCCTCTGTCATTCCATTCATACTCTGCCACTGTTCACAAGTTCTCAGCTTTTTTGCTCTTCCTAGCATCAGGAACTGCTCCCAAAGGACAACACCTTAATTCCTAAAGACGGAGGGAAAAGAGACCACCGGTCATTCCTCTCATCTTCCAAGAAGATCGTATATGGACGTCATCATATAAAAAATATATATGAAACAGAGCAGAGCAGAGCAGTGGAATGAGCTCCATCACCCTCCCACCATTGCCCAGCAATTGAAACAGCTGCTGTAAAAGCCCACCAAAAAGATTTCTTTTTTTTTTAACCTGAAAACTCTCTTGCTCATCGACAAAAATCATTTAATTCGTACAAAATTGACCTGATTATTATATTATATTATTCTATTTAATTAGATAAAATATATTATAAATCTTATTAGATTTGATTATAATTATTGATAAAAAAAATTTTTAATTATGATATGATTCCTTAATAAGTGATTAAACCATCGCTTTAATTTATCTGCTTTAGTCTATATAAAAGTACATAACTTGATAGGGATAAAATAATATATATTAAGATTATATATTTATTTTTAATCTCTCTCGTTCTTTATTTCATAACTTATAATTATCCTATGAAGGATAAAAAGAGGGGAGAAGACGAGCCGGATCTTACCACGATGCACTCATAGATCAAATAAATATTTTTTAATAAAATTAAAATATATGCATCATAAATTTGATCTTCTTTATTTGATTTCGATTTCTGATATTAAAGTTTTTATATAACAATAGCATAATTATGATTTTTATTCTGGTATCATAATCATATTTTGAAATCAAATACTTTTGATTATAAAGTATGTCAGATCTATTTTATTTAGATATGTTTATTAGTATCCTTCGATTATGAAAGATTATTATATGGTTTTGATTGTATGATACTTAAACAATTTGTGTGAATTATCAATCTACTTTTATATCTCATCTTTCCTATTGCTTGCTTGTGAGCGATGTGAGATTTCTCATGTTTAATTAATGGACTATCATTAATAGTCTATTATTAGCGAATGCATTGTTGAGATTGGTGGCCTCCATGGTCATTAGCTTAGTCGCGGACTGTGTACAATTGTTATTATATATGGTAGAAGCACAATGAGGTGCAACAGATGCCTATGTGTAGTAGTAGCCTGCAACGACCAACCTATCTTGGTCGTAGGTGACTACAGTAGTGTCGTTACCTACGGTGACTACAACAATACCACTACGATGACGTTTGCTAGTCGCAACCAACATCGAATGGACACTAACAAATAATATTTAGAATTAATTATAGTCTAAAACTAACAAATTAGAATATTTAAAGATAAATTTAAATTTACTAACAAGTCATTAGCTAATATCTTACTAAAAAATATTAAAATTTAGTATAATAGTATTTAAAATTTTAAAATTATTTCATCAACATGGTTGACAAAATTGTACCCTAAAAACATTAGATATGCATGAATATGGTTGAGTCTTTTCTTATATAATTTATTATTAATTTTATTTCCATTTAGTTTGGCTCATTTAAAATTTACTATAATAAAGCTAAAGATAAGTAAATCTTAAATGAATTGACTAGTATATGTGTTTAGAAAGAATTAAGATTAAAATAAAAAAAAAATTCATAATATTATATATACTATTCAAAGAGTGTATAATAATAAACAAAAATTATAGTGTAAATCACTTGAGTTTATAAATATTATATAAACTCATAAAAGAAAAAAAAATCTTTATACTAAAGTGCTATTAACAATACAAGTCCCTAATATATGTTTTCAATCAAACATTATATAAATCCTTTTCTAATACTTGGTGGATTAATTTTGACACTTCAATTTATATTTTTAATAATAAAAATTTATTTTAATATGAAAACTAGACAAATATGAAATATTTATCATTATAAAAAATATTTTAAAGTAAAAAAGATAATAATCGGTACTTATCATGATGGATCTTAAGTGTATACATTTTTATAATTCTTAAAATTTAAATTCTTATCTAGAATTATTTCTTATTTGGTGATAGTAAGCTCATCATAATTTAATGAAATTTAGTTTTTGAATCTGTGTATATATATGATGATATGCATACAATTAATATGAATCTTGAATTTGTAATAATCCTATAATAAAATATTAGAATGAAATATAATTTTATAAATTTTTTGACATTATATATAAAAATAAAAATATTAAAAAAACTTGTTGATATTAATTTTTTTAAAATAACTATAATATAATTATGATTTTTATGTTTATACTAACATGATACTCTCTCTCTCTCTCTCTCTCTCTCTCTCTCTCTCTCTCTCTCTCTCTCTTCCTTTACGTCGTCTCCTCTCCTCACAATAACAAAGATGCTGTTCCATTATTACGACCATTACACCACCTTAAAGATGTCTTGTCGGTGTTCTATCCTTCACAATAAATATGCTCCGGCTCATTCTTCCTTCTTCATCATGAAACCTCCGTCATCGTCTCCCTCCTATGCTGTCCATTTTCTCTTCATCTCTTCATTGCCATATTAATTTTTCATATAATAATAAGACATTTTTTAGTGATAACAGCTTTAAATATAATCACATAATATAAAAAATGCTTCAATAAAAACCTTAAATGGAGTTAATTTTTTTACCTATATATATATATATATATATATATATATATATATATATATATATATATATATATGAACATATTTGTAGTTTAAAATATTAATGAGATTGTATAATAAAAATATATTTAAATTTGAAATTATTACACTTTATTTAAAAAAAAAACAATATAATGGCATTGAAGGCCAAAGTGAAAATATCTTTTTTCTCTATTTGTGATATCCCAACTACTCCTCTGAAAATGATTCTATTTTGAAGTAGTTTTAACATAAATTTAGCAACAAAGCCAATATTGAATCTAAAATCTTAATTATAAGAAAACAAAAAAGGTATCCAATTTCTAGGTTTTCAAGGAATATGTACCAAAGTTAAAAGTTTTAGAGGTAGAATTAAAAATCATTGACTTTAAATAAAGGTTTTATGTTGAAGGAAATTGAGATAAAGGGGGATTTTTTTTTACTTTTTATTAATTTTAGAAATAGAGAGAAATTAAAGCTTATGGTAACAAAAGATTCCAAGAGAATCCGAATTCAAATCATGAGTGAGGACAATCGAGTCATTTTAGTACTTCTTTCTTATAGGTCGGATGATGAATAGTAACGAGGACTAAAACCATTTTGAGTTCGAGTTCGAGACAATGACATCAATTTGTGACATGGAATCCGTCAAAACTTCATGATTCATAAATCTAACATCAGTTGTTGGGGGTATTAATTAAAGTATATTTGTTGTGACGTATTAATAATGATTGACGAGACACAAAAAAAACAGATTGAAATTGTTTACATCATCAAAAAAAGAAAAAATAATAATATTTTCTCTATTTTCGAAAAATACTTTTAAATTATTATTTTAAAATTTTTATTCACGTAGTAAACAAAATAAAATCTTTAATGAAAGAATAGTTTGTAATGGGCTGATACGGCAAACGGGCGGCCCATTACGAGCTCCACACTTTTGGGCCACTAAATACCAAATGTGAGTTACCAGGCTTTCCTTTCTTGTAGAGAGAGAGAGAGAGAGAGTCAATTCTGGAGCTCCTCACAGAATCCCTAGGGGGCATCTTTTGGTTCTTTCCATGCGCTCTGTCACATCTTTGACCAAGAAAGAATGAGACATGGCATCCACAATCTCTGGTTCAGTGAGCTCATAGGAATAGAATACATTGGAGCACACAAGCCATTGGCATTGAGGCCTGTGTGCCCATTAGGGTTTCATTCTACTGCTGCATTTCCCATAGCATCAGCAAGAAGAGTTCCAGGTCACAAAAACCTAGCTCACATAAAGCTGGACAAACATGCATCACCATATGCTAAGAGACCATCAAGGTTTTAACATTCTAAGAACAACTCTTCTTTTTTTACCACCACAATGGAACAAGAAGCCAGAATCTACACTAAATTACTCCAGTTGTACATGATGCCTCTTGTCCACCCTGACAAATGCCTCCAAGATTAGGCGCGCCTCATCGGGGATTAAAAAACAAGAGGCGCATCCAACTTCAGCTTCGGGACCAGTCAGAATAAGTAGGCTCCACTAGATCTAAGAGAATCTAACAACATGTCACAAAATCCAGAAGCTAGAAGAACAAAGCCATATTTGGGATTACTCCCCACTGACCATACAAACTACAGTGACTTGCCGAAGATGAAGGTTCAGTCGAAGCACAGGCTTGTTCCAGATCCCTTCCTTTATGTACACCGCCGAAATGCTGAGTTGGCAACTAAGGATCCACTTGTGCTATCCATGAAGAATCTTGTCTGTGGCCTACAAGGTGGGAATTTTGTGCACGAAACCGCATTGCCATGAACATAACTTGGTGCGTAGAAGGGGTTGAATATAGAGGAAATAGTGTCGATGCTAGTATTGTCTCCATAATCGGCAGTGCTAAATGAATCTCTGGTACTCTCGGTGGTGAATGATGAATCGTCGGAACTTGTGAAAAGATGCCAATCACTAGATGTAGCATCAGAAAATTCCATGCTCGACGTATCTGGATATGTTCCATCCGGCAGGCTGTTTCTACTTGAAGGCCTTGAGATGTGATCAGCAGCTTGGTCCGTGGTATCTTCACCATGTTCCTTTCCCATATGATTTCTAGGGTTCACCAAATTTTCTGAGGCATGTAAGCTTCCATCTTGTCTTTGTTGCCCATGTTTTGAAGATTTCTGGCTCTTGACCACACTCCGCTTTGCAAAAGTTGGAGGATGTGATAATTTTTTCTCGGTATGAGCTTGAGGGGGCCGTGGAAAAGATCTGAGGATTACATGATACAGCAAGTAAAAATGTGTTAACCAAACATTGTACCAAAGTAGACTGACCTACCTCGCGTAGAAAAGCATGTATGCACCTTCCGACATCACTTGATTCGGTGGTACTGCTTGCACCTATTTGAAACAAGATAAGATTAGAAAAGTTCCTCAAACTGATTATAGAAACTAATCTAAAATGCTTGCATCCATATAGTTGAATAAGCAAGGAATTCATAAAATTATTTTTAATAATTGTCAATCGAACTCAATTAACCAGCTTAAGATACACAATTGATGGACTCATCCATGCTAACATGTCCCATCTTAACCTCTGCCTCCCATTCTCCAACTGGCCCTAGTCAAAACAGTGCATTCCTTGCTCTAAGAAAGCTCTGTTAAGATCTGATTCCTGTCTCACTTTAGGTATTTCAAGGTACGTCAAAATGAGTGAAAATGTGAAATAGGATTAGAGTAAATCTGCATGTTAAATTATGGCACATATCATTGCCTTGACTCATACTTGGATTCACAAATTTACCATTTTCTTGAAGGCTCCTTAGTGAAGATTAACACAATTTTTTGGATATTTTAGTTATGATGATTGATGATTCTCAGATTACTATGTATCTTCATTGACCAATATGATACTGGTATAGTTGTTATTTTTTTCCTTTACATTTATAGCTTTTCCTATGACTAACTCGTCTAAGAAGCCCTAATCCTGTATTGCAACAGGAAACCTGTTCCTTTCCTATGATTAACTTGTCTAATAAGCCCTAATTCTGTATAGCAACTGGAATCCTGTTTCAGTGCGCTCTGACATGACATACAGAAACTGCCGGTTTTTAGAAGAGATGGGAACATGAACTATTTATGGCAACCAAGTAAGCTATAATGTCTGTCAACCGATAAAGCAACGATAAACCAAAATTTAGGTCCATCTAGAAAGGCACTTTTTAAGCTAATCAATCAGCAAATACATGAAACACGTTATATGAAATGAGCATAACCTGCAATAGAAAAGGCAGGTGAACTTCAGAAGAATAGACACTCAGATGAAATAGACAGGCATCATCAAGCAAATGACACATTAATTGATAAATATTTAAAATGGGTGACCAAAATCCAAAAACTTAAAATTTTAGGAAATGGCCCAATTTATATTAAGTTCTAATATCCTCTCTCATGTGCAAGCCAGATTAGGCTTGATGCATGAACCAAAGTCAAGTGCATCATGCAAGTCAATTAAGAAGGACATTGCACAAGCATCAATTAAACACCACATGAAATAAAGAGAGGCAGATACAAGTTTCAAACTCATGACATGCCTTAGTAGTTAGTACCATGATAAATGTTTCAATCTAAACTTAAGCTGGCTTGCATTTGAGGGGAATGTCAATGCTTATACAGATATTCAGGGAATGCTAATGCTTATAAAAATATTGAATCCATTCCTAACAACTTCAAGTTAAGGAATCATTAGTCACCGGGTCAAAAATATTTATTATAGTATGAAAACAGATTCTGAGTTCGAATCCTATAACTATCCTCCGTTTTTCCATGTGATTTTTATTCAATATTTGTGTAATACCCCTCAATCTACTTGGTTTGCACCATGCAATTTCACAGATCAAACCTAAACCAACTAATACATGAGAGAGAGGATATTATACTTGCAAAAATATTGAGGGGATGTTAACAAAGTTGTTAAACTCGCAATGCTGTAGGATCATGCAATCTTATGGCCCAGATCGGGCTTGGCAAGTCGGGTTGGTCATCGAAACTTAAAAATGGTGGAATCAGCCCGACTTGTGAGTTGACTCGGTAAGATCGGTCGATTCGGCCAAGCCAACTCGAGCTTAGCAAGTCAACTCAGTTGACTTTATATAAAAGAAAGTAAAAAGAACTCACCTTGAAGCAGTGTGCCATCCTTGGAGCATAGGAGCAACAGAGCCCTAGACCTTGTTGCTGCCCGCAACGAGAGGATGCTGCCTTACTGGCTGTTCAAAGATGTGTGATCCTTGCAGTGTAAGAGTGACGAGAAGACAGACCTAGACCACTTCTGCCATTCACGATGAGAGGGTACCAGCATTGCTGACCATTCAACATGGCTGCTTGAGTGGTTGTTACTTCCTCTCTACCCACAGGTGCTATTTCTCCACCTTCCCTCTCCTTACCGTCTCTTTGTGTCTCCTCTTATTTCTTCTCCTCCTCTCTATTCTTCTATCCTCCCTTTCATGTTCTCTCCTCTCCTCCTGTCTTCTCCTCCCATCTCTCCTCTCTTCTCTGTTGGCTGGATAAACATTAAGTACAGTTGTTTGCTAGATAAACATGCAAAACTTGAACAATTTAACATTAAGTTCAGTTTCATGGAATAAAAATATAAGAATATATAAGAATTACTAAATCTTAATAAAAAACTATATATAAATTTCTTTAAGTGTATGTATCTTAATATTTTTTTTATTTGTAGGATCTTATGTTCCTAAGGTCAGATTCTACGATCTGACTTTGTAACCCCTCGATGATCCTAAGTAGGAATACGAGCCTGACAATCTTGAATGTTAATGCTTGTTGAATTATATTGGAACCTTTCCTAACACTAATATTGCTAGAAATCCAATTCATGCAGCATTTGATAAGACAAATAACAACTCCCAAAATCCAGCATCAAGTGATCAGTGGACTCTAGTTACCTCAGAATCATCAATTCTGAACCATGTTCCTTCCAGATCTTTAACATATGAAATATAATGCCCTGAAAATGATGCATTCAGTGTATCCACGTGCACAACAACCGCATACAACAGGTAAAGGGGAGGGTTGTCAGCAGTCCCAGTCACAAAAGGAATCATGTCCAGCATCTCAGGGAAGGTAACACACTTATTGATTTTGCCATACTTCCCTGTCTATTAAGCAAAGCAACAACAGCTCTGTAAGAAAGAGAATCAAATTAATGTGCATTAACTACATAGAAAAAGGTTAATATCAGTGACAAGAATACTGTTAGAAATGTGTGTCATGCAACAAGTAATGCATATGGATACTAAAAACTAATATGCAATTAAAATATAATTATATTTAATATAATTAAAATATCCTACAAAAGAAGTGATTAATAGAATGAAAAGTTCACAGTTTAATGTTTCACATGAAATTAAATTCTAGGGTCATCTGAAAGAAACCATTTTAAAGCTTAAACAAGTCCACCTAGTCAATTTGTTACCTGGAACCTCTTCAAAACTATAGTTAGTATGTTGGGGACCTCATGTAAACTCAACTGCTTCCTGGCTTCAACATATGCCAAACACCTATTTTTCAAATTCAAAGATAGAATCAGCAGTGACAAACAACTAACGGAATCAGATAGGCAAATTTGGAGTATTGATTGAACCTTCCACATCTGTACATATTCTCCCCATCTAAATCCTCCGGAGCAGTAAATTGTGTGAGAGCATCTTCCAGTGATTCAACCCGGCCATGTATCTCCAGTGTAAGATCCATAATGCTCTCATATCTTTCAGACTCAAGATGACATCTTTGGCACTTGACCTTGATACAATTAGGTACACTAGTTAGTATCAAATATCCTTTACAATTAAGAGTAAGAAGATCGTGCTAAGCAAGCAAAATGATTTTGCAGCAAAGTCAAAGTCAGTCACCTTTGATTTGAGGCGACCACCAAATATCTGTTGTATAAGTGTTGTATCTTGCAACCTTGGATCAACTTCCTTCTCACCACCCAGTCCTTCAAGGCACACAGGATTGCATGGACATAACTAGAAGCCTGGTTGTTTTGTATCAAGATGCATCAGTAACAGGATGACTTTAGAAACTAGTTGTTATGAATTGTGAAGAGATGAAGCTGAATAGAATACAAAAAGAGGTGCCATCAGCCTGGAAAGCATAATCCTGTACCCAATCTGATTCAGGCCCCAAAAAACTGGCCTCAGGCAGTCATTTCCTGCTATTAAGCTAGCTAACTGGATTCCTTGATATGTATTTAGCTCAGGCTAGGGCTTATTTTGAAGTTATTAAAATAAATGATAGCTACTCGGGATAGCTTGGCTCAAAGATTAAGCCATCTGCAGGCTGGGAACAGATCAGCATCCTCGAACAGATCAGGCATGAACTTATTATCACTTCTTAAGGATGAAGATCCACATCTTGCCCAGAGTATTGTACCCCTATTCTAAAGTAACTGATATGAAAGGAATTTGTAAAGTAACAAATTAAGAACCAAATGAGTGCCATGTTTATGTGGTACACCTGAGAAATTCATGTGCATCCTCTTGGTTTCCACCACCCATGCGACACCCAATATTTCTCATGTTCAAAAGGATCTTACTGGCAGACAAAGGACCACCTCCTTCCTTCAACATTGAAACATGTTGCTCGAGTTCACACATGAGGCACCACTCCTTGACACAACCTAAAAATGCAGAATAATTTAGCAGAAGATATCCAGATAAAATGATAAAACCTCTCATAATATTTGCTCATAAGAGCAAAGACGAGTCAGAATTACAGGTTCTTGAATGTGATCTCTGAAGTAGGTAGACCATGAGAGGTTTGGTGCCAGTCAGACATTGCAAAACAGCATTAGCATAGCAACTGCAATAAATACAAAGCTATAAAAGTTAGAGATGCTTTAGAGAAGGATCCTAAAAGAGAACAAGTAATTCATTAAAGTGCATTATGATTTTGGGATAGACTAGAATAAGTAAAGAAGCTGTTGGGTTCATACTGTCGGTGTAGTGTCTTCAAAAACCACATATACAAATTGATACATTTAAATAAAACACAAACCCATTACTTATTTTTCTCCTCTTAGTACGTGTCACTCACTTAAATTGTTATCTCAAACACATGAACTACAATAGATCAGACACAATTTACACAGTTCACCAAGTTGCTACATTGATGCTCCTTACCCTTGCAAGGCATGTTCTCATGTCCTCGAGTGTCTTAAATGCCACAGGCTGAACAAATTTAAAAATGCATGTATGTAGCAACCTAGAGATCCATGATCACTACTCCACAAGTAATGCATGCTATCACAAATTGTCCTTTAAAACGTAAAACTCACCTATAAACCACAAAATTATGCTTTCATTAATTCTAGAATCATTTAGTTGAACATTTGACAAGGACATATATCATATGCATACATACAGTGATCAGATGTCATGATGATATATAACATTTGCCGAACAGGTGACCTAAACTCGGACAAGCTATAGAATCAAACAAGGATACAATTTGAAATAATTAACTATAAATCCTGGTGAAAATGCAAACACTGATTTCCACGAGTTGTCGTTGACAGCATGGACCATTAGATGAATAACCAAGGAATTCAATGATTTCAGTGTTCAAACAGCCATAAACAAATCAATTTTTTCGCTATGAGATATCCATTCCAACAAGAGGGTTTACTCCTATGTGCTCTGGGAGGAGTCTCAGAAACAGCCTCTATAAGGCTATATACCACATATATTACCCCTCCCCAGACCCCGTATTGATAAAAGCCTCACACACCGAGCTCGTCTTTTTTATATTCATTCCAATAGACAGTCCAACTACAGGAACACTCCATTAAAATACCAGGAACAGTAGCAATAGCATAGAAAATCAAATCGAAACCGAGATAAGCTGGATTAGGCTTTTGAACCAAGGGATCAGGACTTTAGCAAAATGAATACCAAACCAATAATATTAAAGCACGAAAAAAAGGAACACAAAAAATTCAAGAAAATAAGAAAATAAAAAGACACAAAAAGCAAGTAATGCAAAAAAAAAAACGTCTATTTCCAATTAGATCAGTTGCGGCTAGCTCCAAAGTAATATATAAACCATGTAAATAAATACTGATCAGGAAAAACATGTAGCAATAACAATTTGAAATGATGTTGCTTTAAAATTTTAAAATCTAAACAGATCTCCACACCCTTGAAATAGGTTTTTCAGATAACCACATCCCATCAAAAGAAACTTAAGGTTTCTTTGGCTCAGTGATTTAAAAAGGCACTAGGGCGCTTGCCTAGGCGCTCGGGCAAGGCGAGGCGAGGCCCGAGCACCTCGCTTCATTTCCAGGCGGCGTGCTTCAAAGAGGCGCCGCCTGGGCGCTCGCTCGAGCCTAGGCGCCGGGTGCTTTGGGTGAGCGCTTAGGTTAAACCAGGCGACCGAACCAGCGTTTGAGGTCTGGTTCGGTCTTCGGTGCTTTAGTTGGTTCAATCGAACCAACTAAAGCACCGATATCAACGTGACTTCCCCAACCCTAACCCTACTCGCCGTTCACGCTACTGCCGCTGCTGCTGTCGTCGTTCCTGCTCCCGTTGCCGCTACTACCGTTGCCACTGTCTCCGCTCGCCGCTTCCGCTCCCACTCCCGCCGCTCGCTGTTGACGGTGTCACTGTCGCCGCTTGCCGCTCCCGCTATTGTGCTGCCACTGTCGCTGCCACTGTCGTCGCTCGCAGTTGCCGCTCCCGCTCTTCTCAGTCAACACCCTCGATCTTCCGACTCTTCCCTTACACTCTTCTCCTCTTTCGATAGTATACTGTTAACAATATACAGTATACAGTAGTATACTGTTAACTGTATACTAGTAATAGTATTTGTATTTATCAAATTAATTTAATAGCATATTTTTATTTAAAATTTTAAATAATTATATTTATTAATTATATTATATAGTTTTATATTTTAGCGCCTCGGGCATTTTTGGACCTTGATGCCTAGCGCTTTTTAAATCACTGCTTTGGCTAAAGGGGAATAAGTTAACATAATCACTAAGAAAAACAACAATTATTGCATAAAAATTTTGAGAAAAACAATGATTTCATGGCTAATACGATGAATACTTTTAAGTGTAGGAAGCAAAGAGTATGCATTCCTTACATGGCATGATTTCCTCTTATTTTCTTAATTTACTCTAAAAAAGAAATGATATTTTTTGTATACCATAATAATTTAAGCTGTCAGATGACAAAATCAATCTTTACAAAACTTACAAGGGTAACCTTGCTTCTTAGCAAGCCACAAAAGCAATCCCTCATAATATGAATACAGAATAATGAAATATGTCACAACCTCATTTTCATAAATGGTAGGCCTATTACAAATAAACATTCAACTTACTAAGTCATACCTATTTCCACAATTAAGAAGCCCCCTAGGAGATATCCGCCACTCTTCACATTGGAAAAACTTAACAAGATCTTCGTAAGGAAATAACATTTGACAAACCTGGAATTGCAGAACATGAAAAGCAGAGATCTATTTGTCAAATGTAATACATGGTTTCAAGTCTAGAAAATAGACCTTGTTCTTCTTATTGTCATTCAACAATAAAAGAAGATTCCGTTTGAGCGCTTTTGGATTCTTCTTTGAGCCTGCCATAATCCCTTCAATGCTTGCATTCCCACTGAGGCCCCGTATGTGGATGTTCGAGGATATATTCTTTTGTCGGATTCCTGCACAAGGTTTAAGAAATAAGAAGAAAAAGCAAAAGCAGAACAGGAGCATACAATGGAAAAGTGTACAAGTCTAATAAAGTTTCACAACAAGTTCTCTTATCCTACCAGATCCATTTTCCTTGTCACAAATTTTTCCTAAACTTTGAGAGTGGTATCCTCTCGACATGTTCTCTGCTAACTTCTGTGACGAGGAAGCTGTGTGCCCAAGAGTGTAGGGGGGTTTCCTGTACATTATGCTTTCTTTGGCTGAATAGTGTTCAGCAGGGTAACTGACATGAAATTTTTCATTAGAAGAAGAAAAACCAGACTCAGAAAAATCTGCTTTCTCTGGACTGATATTTGCACCATTTTGGCATTCACTTATCACATGTTTATCCGAATGTAACCGAGATGATGTTGCAGTGGAACCACTTTGTTCCAGTCCCTTTCTTGTTTCGGCAGCTGATTTATTGTGCTGGACCATCGGACTTCTGGCATTAGATGAGATGTTGGTCTCTTGATTCATATGGATTTGACAGGGCGAAACAGTAGAGTTTCGATTTGCTAACTGAAACCATTGGTACACAAGCACATCAGTAAGACAGTGAAACCAAAAGCAGAAATTAATCTTGCCCACTATGAGTACATACGATACAAACTCACACCTTAGATCCTTTAGGAGCATCCTCTGAAGAAATCTCAGTAAAATGGTTGGTCAACAAGGCTTGAGCACAAGCATCATGGTCATGGTCTTGATCAAATGCACATGCAGTGTAATCATCGCCATAAGATTTATCTTTTTTTGATTTATTAACAACACCCATTCTTGATGACTTCCTTCCAGTCTCTGAATCTTCGGATGTGTCAGTGCTAATAAAGGAAGGATCATCCATGTCATTTTGAATATTGTAATGCAGGGGCTCTTCAATACCATTGCAAAGGTAAGATGATTTTGAGTTATTCAAGATAGACTTATGCCGAACTGTATCTTTAAGAGGTAGGCCAGCCAAAACATCCAAGGAACTATCATGCCATTGTTGACATTCATGCTTATGCCCCTGCCTCCAGTGAATTATTTGGCACTTTCCAGAACTGAAAACAGGAGATGCCAAAATAATATAAGCTGCTTATTAGAATCCATTAATATGGCAGGATTAATTACAGCATAAAAGACGACAAATACAAGCAAGTGTATCCACGATCAGCTTTAGAGAAGAAAGTACCATTTTATTTACATGATACTATTAATTTTGCTTTCCATGTGAAGTCAACAAATAACTGCGAGGAGTATATTAATTTTTACTACATGTCTATTACAGATACATACTTCATAGTGTCTGTGTACACTATTCAACCACAAAATTTCTTAAGACCGTCTCAATAAATTAACCTTTAAATTTGCACCCAAATGATACCTAATACATGAAAAGCCAACCTATTCCAGAATTAGCCAATCTTATTCAATTTTTGACTAAATTTTTAGCCATGTTGTCATATCTATATTGGAATCATGGTAATGAAACAAAGTTGAACTAGAACTGGTATAATTCACCTAGGGCGGGCTAGGATTGGCTGATATTTTCCAATATGGCTAATCTTATTCTTTGAGAAGTGAAAAAAAAAAGAAAAAAGGGATTAGAGGAAGGGGAGGGAAGAGAAGAGGAAAGAATTTATAACAATAGGGACCAGTAGGAAAAGTTTACCACCACGGACCATCAGCAATGGAGCAATTCTTAACAGCTGGGTCACAATGGGAAACAAAAAACACATTTTCTGGATCAATCTTTACTAAATGAATTTCATAATCCAATATAATATGTTTATTAAGTATTCCCGACGGTTTTAGCCTTTTCCGCATGTTAAATCAACAAGCTAGAAAATCAACTAAATCAAAGAAAATCTTCAGTGCATACCTTAACAGCTTTTCATGAAGCAAAATGTTCTTAATTCAGCAAATAATATATAGATGATCAGAAACATAAGAAAAAAGTATCAGAGATTATCAATGAGAACAACACAAGAAATCCATGAAATGTTATATTATTGTACCAGTATCTGACCGACTTGCATCTGGAGCAGCGTGTTGTAGCAGGGGCAAAGCATCTAGTGCATTCATGAAAGCCAGTTCTTGAAGATGGCAAAACTTGAAGGACACTGGCAGATGCCATTGCTTCTACTTGGAAAGCTTCTTCAGCAGCAAGCTGAGCAAGTATACTTATCCTAGCCTTCTTCTTAGCCGCCTCGTTCCATCTCCCAAGTAAGATATAAGTGAAAAGTGGAATCAAGACCAGGAAAATGAAAAGTGCAGGTATGTCAGCTTCCCTTGGCTGAAGCATGTCCCCACCAACACACTCATGTCCAATTTCAACATGTGCTACATAGGCAGATTCATGTGAATTGATCTAACCATATGTTTCATCTTTATTTCAATAGAAGATAATAGAGTTCGCCTTTCTCTGAAAGAGATATGCTTATAAAGCATAAATTTGGTGCCCTAAATTGCTCCAAGGAGAGAATACATTTCAAGACACCAAAAGGCCTACAGTTCCTGCATTCACTGTGACTTCTGTCAACAAAAAATAAGCAAACTTTTTTTTTTTCATTCTAAAGAAGAAACAAGTTGTGTTTACAAATTTAACTCAGCTAATTTAACCAGAAAGATCAGGTCCAGTGGAAAATTCCCTTTGAAAATAAAGGCAAGGAGAACTGAGGGGAAATATAAGAAACAATATAAGTCAGAAAGACAAGACCTGAATGTGGCAAAGCAGCATTATGAGATCTCGTTGGAGGGGCATTTTTGCTGTAAGATTTCAAGACAAAGCGTCATGCATCTTAACTTGAAAATATGCACAAACAAAAGAGACAAAGCAACCTTAAAGATCCTATCTTCAAGCTTTTGAACCAAGAAACAAAGAAACAGTGCACTGCAGATATTAAAAATCAATATTCAAGTAGAGTACACGATCAGATCACGAATAACACCTCAAGTTAATGAAAACAAGAGGTATCACAAAAAGCAAAGCCCTTCCTAAGCCCTATTCTCTAATGAAATTTCCTCAGAAAAAAGATATCGAGAATGAAACCCTAATACTCACTCCACCTCGACCAAAATCTTCCCTAGCAGTCAAAACGCAAGATATCGAGAAAGAGACACAATGGCATCAATCATGATTCAGAACAACAAACCTGGAGGGAGGGAAGCAAGGAATATTTAAAGGAAAGGGCCATTTGCACCTCACCAAGATCCCTGTTTTACAGTCTCTAGCAGAAATGAATCAAATCAAAGACCGACTACCGACAATCTCACATGAAATCTAGTACTTTTGACGCCTCTTGAGCAAGGAAACCCCACCTCAGCATGCCTGCACTTTTGGCAATTTCTCCACAAAATGCACACAGCATCCAGCATTCCAGGCCATTCATGAGAAAAAATGTCTCCTTTATCACAACTCGAGTAAGGGGAGCGTCACAAAAAGGAAAAGAAGAAAAAAATAAACCAAAAAAGTTAAGGAGATGGACGCATCGATGAAAAAAGAACCCAAAAACCTGGCATTTTTAACAGATTGCAGTCCAATGGAGAGAAAAATGGCATTAACTGGAAAATGAGGCATCTTTCCCCCTTACCTCTGAAGGAAAACAAATCTGGGGCATCCTCCCAGGATTCACCCAATGTCTCATGTGATAGTCATACTTAAAACATCTCAAAGAGACGCTTTTCCTCCAAGCTGGTTCTGCGGCTCACTGGCTAAGCAGTACCCTTCACAGTCTCTCTCTCTCTCTCTCTCTCTCTCTTCTCTCTCTCTCTCAATCTGGCTAGCTGTTTTACCCACTAGCATCAAATAGCATATGAAAAGAAACAAAAAGGCAATAATATATTGGAAATCTCCAACACACCCTCTCCCTCGCTCTGCTTTTTACACGCATCCATGGCTTTCCTTCCGTGCCCTCTTCGATGAATCAGTGCTAAAACAAGGTATAGGAAGCAAGGAAAGACGATTTATGTATCCCTCAGTCAGCGTAGACAAAGACAAATACATTTAATGAATGATGCAAGAATGTAGAAAGAATGGTGTTTTTGTTCGGAAGCGAAGAAGCAAACAATAATCCCCAGTTGCAACTCTTGTAAGGTTCCAAAAACATCCTTGTTGGATCCCTTTTTCATATTATGAGCACGCGAGATCTAATTGTCCTACTTGTTTTATGTGCATCAATTCGATCCATATATTAATCAAGAGCGACATGCACCAACTTTTTTTATTATGCGTGTTATTGCTCCAACCTCGAAATTGCCGTGGCACTGTATTTTTCAGAAAAGAGTACTCACAGGAAGGGATTATAATATACTCTTACCACTTCGCTTTTCCCTGTAAGCTCGTGTATTGAATGGATGGGTGTTACGTGGTGATCCTTTTAAACTATATGGGGTTACCATTACTTGTTTCTTAGCTTCTTGATTCCTTATGCATTGACTATTTTTAATGGTTGATGTATCAGATGCAAGATGCTAATCTGGGAACATAGCCATCCATGGTTCCGTAATGCATAATATGTACATAACAATTTATTGCTGGATTGTATTCTTCCTCACTGCATGTATGACTATGTATGGTACATACAATGTACCATACATAGTACATTGAAACTTCCGTTCTCATGGCTGCATCACTAGCAACAACAGAAGCTCCCACAAGCATCAAGCTGCAGCAGTTGCAAAACCACTGCTCAGATTCATTATGAAAGCTGCCTACATAGCAAAAATTATGACACCGCAAGCCAACTGGTTTGGTGATTCGCATCAGCTGCGGCTGGCAAAATCCATGAACCTCAAAGACTAGATATGAATGCCACAACCTCAACAATCCTACATTGCCAAACAACAGGAAATCAAGTATTGGGAAATCAAAGAATGCAATTAACGAATGTGCACGAATTATAAAGATTACTACCTGATTTTATATTTTCTAACTAAAGCAATAATAGCCTTTGAATTACATTAGATAAGAGTCAACTAATGCATATTCTATTAGCCTTTCAATTCTATGCACCATCTTTCCCACCATCCATACAAGTGTCACCTTCACATGTATACAGGAAACCAACTAAAAATGAAAGAACCATCAAACCAACAGACAAAAGGAGACAAAAAAAAAAAGGAAAAACAAATGGATCGGAAAGAAATTTCTTAGGGCAAATCATCATCATTACAGCCATGTCAGTCCTTGGGCAGGCATCCTTGCTCGAGTGTCAGCTAATGACACCGACATGGCAAGAATCATTTGCTCTTCAAAGTTCTCGGGAGCGAAATGTCCCGGAGTCATGATAGCACCACTTGGGAATGGAATCACTGCAGTCCGTGGATCTACCATAACATCTGAACCAGCATAGCTGGTCCCTGCCTCAGACATGTCTGACCAATGATCAGTCGAACACTCACCAAGCTCCTCCCTCAGTACTTCCCTTCCGCTATCTGGTGGTATCTCATTCCAGTAACTTGAAGGATTATTCTGCATAAACCTCATGTTTCCTAAACTGCCTGATTGATGAAGCATGTCCAACATTGAGGTGGCACTACTGGATATATTAGCACTAGACTCCACATAAATATGCTGGTGCTCATTTAGAGCTGAAGCTGCACAAGCTAACCCACTATAGGGTGACACTTCTGGAGGAGCTATTCCATGGGAACTGTAACATTCTTCTGAAAAGGATGGTCCAGGGAAAAAACTTCCGAGATAGACTGGATATCCTTGATGACCATGCTCCTGATCAAAGTGAAATGCCAAATTAGATATTGGGTTCTGAAAAAAAGATAAACAATGAGAAATATATTCTACTTTCTCCTATCTAAACATGAATAATGAAAATTATATCGTGATACCTTTATATTTAACTTAATCCAAACTGTGTCTAATAATGCAAACAGATGATGTTTTTTATAATATCTCTAAGAAAACATCAAAAATAGCATAGTAGTTACATATAAAGAACACCACATGAACACTCACTAATGCATAGGCATGCACCTAAGCATGCAGAAATTAGGTTTCTAAAATGGCAGCCTAGTGCACAAAGCTCATTTCCCTCTGGCATCACAGTGTATTTATTACATTCCCACAACCTTAACCATGCATGATGAGAGGCTGTTTTGAAAAATTGACCCCATAATGTCTGGGTTGCAGTTGATAAGCTCTGCACCAAGGCAGTGGTTGAGATTTCTAAGGCAGCCTATGTTCCTATGGTCAAACGAGTCAAGATACATTGGATCTGGACAGTAAAGGGACTTTCTGAGTGATTCAATTGGAAAACAGCAAAAAACAAAAGAGCAAATATTGGACAGGAAGCGAGAACCTCTAGAGAAACAAGGATAAAAACAAATGGAAAATTAGAGCACATTTATATTTAAGACCTGTCCACAGCCAAACTTTGCTATAATTTAAAAAATAATCAAGAATATAATCCACTTATTCCTGTTTAAAAATCATCTCTGACACAAAATATAGATGACAATTTACTCCTGGACCATGACATCTTGTGATCCTAAAGGTACATCCATTCTTCCTCATGTGAGCCATGTTGATGTGTTGAACCTCCCCAAAGTTCCTTTTAATATTTTTTACCACCCCAATGTAAATCCAGGACTATTTTTTTATATCCTCCTCCTCTGTGCCTTTTTTATCTTCCTCTTTCTCTTTCTCCTTCTATTTATCTGCTTTCAAAGAACAACTGTGCCCTTAAAACCTAAACCCTGCATCTAATCCATGCTGTTGCCTTGCGTTTGGGCATAAGGTATAGCCATGTTTGTTCAGGTCATGCAATTCAGACAGGAATGTCTCAATATAAATCGTGCTCTTCAGCTTTGCTTCCAGACTGAAAAGAAACAGTTGAATAATAATGAACAGGCACACATAGAAAATAGAGAAACTAGAATGAAACAAAAGAGAAAGTGATGCAAATTGAGGAAAAGGCAACTCATAAGACAGGCAGCCAATTTAGACAATTTAAAGATACATCTGATATTGCAGTCAAGATTTCCTCTTTAGCACATATCAGCTGGACATCAAATACAACCTAAACCAAGGTTTGCCGTACCATGATATACCGCTCAGTACAAGTGGTACATACTGGTGTAACATGGGACTGGTATAAGTGATACATCGGTATGACCTCATCTACCATGTGCTGGTATGCTCGGTACAGTTCGGTATATACCGTACCGATAACTAGCCGGTACACCGGTGTGGACCGATAAGACGAATCATGACCTAAACCAATCCAAATAGTATCTAGCAGCCTCTTTTAGTTGGATTTCTATCCAAATGTAATTTTAAATACAAACTTGACCTTCTTTAATAGAAAAATGGACTATGATGAAAATCCTATAAAATTACCTAAACTCAGGGAAGAAACTACTACAATCAATGATTAACATAACATATATTGTATTCAATCAATACTAGCTAGACTACCCAGACTCATTCAGAAAAGCATGACTTCTGACACATACATAACGCAGAGTCAAGTGCAAGAATATATAACTGATCTCCCATTTTAGAGTGGAACTCCAAAGCCTTAGTTTCATCATTTCAGTTCCACACCCATCCATGAGCTAGATCAAGTGGTTGTGCTATTAACATGCCACGACATCTGCTCAGAACTCTCCTCTCAGCTTGTTGCTTTTATATAAGCACCATTTGATGCGGAATTGTCGAGCTTCAAAATCAATAATCCACATGTTATTGCACAGGAATCTCTATTTCCATAGCCACTGTGCTGAACCTTTCAACCATATATATAAATATA